CAGTAGGAAAGGATGTCCTTTCTGCAGTCATTTTGATCTTTTTCCCTCTTTTTTTTTTTTTCCCATGGAATGGTTGTGTGTGTTTGTGTGTATGTCTAAGAGTGCCCTCCATTGGCCACATCCAGGCTGCTGCTCCAAGGAACAGGACGGAGGGAGGTGGTGGATGGTCAGCCGGGGTCATTGCCCTTCCCATGCAGTAGGAATGTGTGTGATGCCCAGACTCTGCAGAGCAGGGCACAGACAGGGCATATTCCAGCACTGCTGGGAGCCCCTGGACTCCTCCCACTCAGGCAGAGCTGAAATCCCTGTTCTGGGCACAGCTGGACACAGCAGTTTGGAGGGGTCCATCTGGAAGGTCTTGGTGGGACAGGGTGAACTGGCATCTGGGACAATTCAGGCAGAGGGTGAAAGCAGTTTTAGGCAAGATCAGGGCACACCCTGTTCCCTGCTCACACATTCCATGCTGCCTGAATCCCCAGGATGGCTGTGGGGTGTGCAAGTTCTGCAAAATTGTGCAGAATTCAAGCAGAGTGGTGGAAAACTCCAGCTTCAGGCCTGGATCTTCTTGATTTATCATTACTGCGGGAAGATGATGTCCACCATCAAACAGCTCACCGTGGTGGTCTTAGGACAAAGGTTGGACTTGATGATCCCAGAGGTTTTTTCCAACCTTAATGATTCCATGGCTTGCAGGCTCCAAAATTCACTGGCACCAGTGAAAACTGGATGCCTAAACCCCTTGGAGAGAGCAGGTGCCAGGTGTAACCTCGAATTTTGTCCTTGCCTGGTTTTGATTTAGGCTGTGAGGGTCTGTCTCAGGTTGTGTTTCTGATCCAAGTCTGCTCCAGTGGGTGCCACAGTGGGATGGGAAATGCTCAGCAAGGAGGTAGAAAAAGTTATCAGGGCTTTGTGAAGGTGCAGGAGCTGTGCTGGGGGTTCACAGCTCTTCATAATCCCCTTCTTTGTCACCTCTAACACCTGCTCGAGGAAACCAAGGCAGAAGGAACATTTGGACCTAAGTTCTTTCTGTGAGTTGTTTGGGATGAAAAACTGCCTCTGCCAGGGTCACACACACAAAGACAATGATATTTTTCTCCTTTGGTTTGTCCTTGAGAAATGCAGACAAGGGACAGCCCAAGGTCACCTGCTGTCCCCAAGCTTTACTCTGCCAGACACATCCACCAAGCACAGGACTGGAAGGAGAGGGAAAGAGAGGTGGCATTTACTCCAAGTTGGAGCCAAAGGAAGGGACAAAATTCCAGAAATAGCCAGGCTACCTAGACATTCGCTCTGACAACAGCCATGGGAATATGGACAAATTTGACTCTGTGCTATAGGAACGTGAACTCCAACACTGGGATAATCTGTTTTTTCATGCATTTAATATCACTTCTGCAGGCTGTAGCCTATGGTTATATGTCCCCCTTGGGAATTTTTTTTTTTTTGGATTGAAATGCAGAAGATGGATCTCTGCTGAAATGCAGCAGCCACTCAGCTGTCCATTGCACCTTCCCTCCCTGACAGGTCCAACACCTGCTGAGCCAAAGATCCGGGTGTGGAGGGGGTTTTGCCTCTCCACTCGTGCTCTGAGTAAAGATTCCTGCTTCAGCAAGGATTTTAGCTGGAGGAGAAAAAAAAATATGTTTATGTTCCTTGTGGTGAAACCTTCCAGATGGGGCTGCACTGAGGGGAGATCAATTCTGAGGACAAACACCCGTAACACGGCGTCCCATTAACGGGTCGGCTCAGTTAAAGTGTGTTGGCTTTTATGGTGCTTTTCCCAGGGAGGGGCAGTGAGGGGGGAGGTGTTCCGTGCTCACCACACCCTCACACAGGAGCACGTTTGTAGTCAGTGAGAAAAACTGAGTTTGGGGAGGGCAGGAGCCTTGGGCTGAATCCCAGGTGCTGGCGTTGCCAATAGGGTCTGGATTTCAGAGCCAACCCTTTCTCCTGATGATCTTGTTGCTATGGAGGCACTGCTGGCTCCTGCTTCCAACTGGGAAAGGCAGGTTTCTTCACTGACTGGACCAGAGGTTAAGGTGACAAGAAAGATGGAGGTACTATTTACAAGAGCATGTAGTGAAAGGACTGGGGGCAATGGCTTCAAACTCACAGAGGGCAGGTTGACGTTTGATGCTGGGGAGAAATTCTTCCCTGTGAGGGTGGGGAGGCACTGGAACAGTTTTCCCAGAGAAGCTGTGGCTGCCCCATCCCTGGAAGTGTTCAAGGCCAGGCTGGACAGGGCTTGGAGCAACCTGGGCTAGTGGAAGGTGTCCCATGGCAAGAGGATGAAACAAAATGATCTTTCAGTTCCCTTCCAACCCAAACCATTCTATCATTCTATGATCCTTGTGTGTCCCTTCTAACTCAGGATATTCTGTGATTCCATGATCCCTGCCTGGCTCAGAAGTGAGAGGTTTGTACAGATTTTGGCTTTGCAAAGGCTTGGAAACAGCATGAGCTGCTGCTGCACTGCCCTACAGAGAGGGAGAGGACAACCAGTGGCCCCTTTCAGAGTCTCAGACAGAGCAAGAGCCTTTCACTTCCCAAATATGATATTTAAAGCATTCACAGCCATTTTTAGGCAACCCCTCCTGCTAACCAGGATGGCCTCTGGAAATTTGTAGGATGTGTGGTTGATGCCTGTTGTTTTCACTGCAAGCAAGACCAGCTTTGCATCCACTTTTCATCCCTGAAATCTGGCCCTGGAGGCAGGCAGGAGTCTGGCAAGGGGAGATTTGCACTGTGGAGCTTTGTAGGCTGCAAACCAGTCGGGAGTGGGGATCTGACTTGTAAAAAATTTAAGTGCAAATGCATTTGGACTCCATGCTGATTAGTGTCAGGTCTAACACACACTCAGGAATCTGCTGGCAGGGGCTGCAGTGATTTGAAGCTGGGATGAAACACAGTTTGCAAATAGCAGATCTGACTTTCGAGTTACCTAACCCTTTCCTTCCCAAAATAAAAGCACTTTTTTGAAGACGAGGGGAGATACAGAGACAAATCTTTGATACAGAGCGAGGAGAGAAACCAAGGGGTGAACACGGCAATGCATTTGGCTTCTTATCTCTTCCTAGATGCACAAGATGGTCTGTGGGCTTCTCATTTCTTATTTTTCAGTCTCTCCTGGGACTGGATTTAGCTCTGCCTGAGTTGTAGATTTGCTGGAAATTTGTATGGCTGCTGTGAAAGCTTCCTCTGTTTGCAGTCTGGGGAGGTAGAGCCTGGTGTGGGGTGGGAGATGGCAGGATTGGGGAAGGGTGGTGTGGACACTGTGGGGCTGTGAGGTGGATCAAGGTGTGTTTTCCTTCCTCCCTTGGTGCAGGTTCCCCTCTCCACAGGTTTTCACCCTAATTCCTTCCTGGTAGTGCCAGCACGGTCTCTGATCAGGGAGAAACACATCCCAGATGATCTGAATTATTTTGGGGTTGCAGCCCAGGACAGTGCATCTCAGGAATGGAGCTGTTTGCTCTCAGGCTTCAATGCAGAGCCCCTGAGCACTTGCTTTTCCCTAACCTGTGGACCACGGAGCCTCCTGAAACCATGGCAGTTGTCTAACTTGGCAGGGAAAACCTTCCTCTCAGGGGTCCCATTTATCTGTTTGAAATTGGGCAGCAGGTCTGTTTTGGAGGCAGCAAGTGCTGCAGGGTCGGGGTAAGCATCGCCCAAAGGGGAAACTCCTGATTTTCTCTACCTGAGGTGAGCCAAGAGGGCAGGAAAGCAAAAAGCTGGGAAGGTGGGAAGGAAAAGGTACCATGGCTGCGTGTCCAGCAGTGGGGGAAGTCCTGCCGCACACACTGAGGATCTGCCCCTCCTGCCTGTCAATCCCCGAAGCTTTTAACAGGCCCCCTCCCCAAACTTGAGGGTGGTCACTGCATGGGGAAGGGGTACAAAATGAGGACAGTCCTGCTTCTTTCTTCAGTACCCTTCTTTCTTCTCTCCTGGAAAGAGGGGAGATGGAGGGAAGGGGGCGCTGGAGGGTTTTCTTGTGGGGTAAGAAAGAATGAGACTTACAGAGGGTGGAGGAGCCTCTTTCTCATGAAGGGGGGCACAGGGATCTGGGCAGTTGAGTTAAAAGGGGATCTTGGCTACAAAGGGTTGCAGGGATTGAGTCTCCAGGTCAGTGGAGGATGGATTTTACTTTCGCTACAGGGATTTAGGGACTGAAGGAGGTCCCAGGGCTGGCAGGGAAGACTTTCACTCTCTGCAGATGCTCCAAGCCTGAGTACAGTACCACAGGCTTTGGGGTGTCCTGCACACAGAGGTGATAGGTGAGGCATCTGCCTGATGTGGGAAGACCTAAAATCTGCCTCTGTTGCCCTTTTTTCCTTGTACTGGGTGTACAGCTCCTTCCAGCCTCCTGTCTGGCCTCAGGGTTAGAGCAGGTCTGGGTTACCAAACAACAACTCTCTTCCCTGCACTGGTTTGGTGGAAAGGAGAGAAAAAAGGTGATAGAAAAAGAAGCTAAAAAGCAAATGCTGGAGAGAGGAAGGGAGGAGGCAGAGCCCAGCTTCCCGTGCTGAGCCCACCCTCCCCAGGTGCAGCTTGAAGTCTGCCTTAAACTGGCTCCTCTTGGGATGGAGAGGGTTGGAAACTCCCTAAACCAGAGATCAATGGTGTTTTATTTGGGGGGATGGTTAAAATTCACTGCAAAGGCTCTGCTTGGCTCAGCAGAGGGATCTGCATGGGCAGAGGGCACCGGGAAAGCAGGGCACAGATATGTTTATCCCCAGCACTAGTCACTGTTGCCCCCCCCCCCCGGGGGTTGGGACATCCTAGAGATGGGGACACCCCCAAACTTAGCATGGGGATGGTGATGTGGGACTGCACCTTCTCCCAGTGAGATGGGAGATGGGATTGGGGATGCTGCGTGGATTCTCAGCCTTGTGAAGGGTTAATAAAAACGACAACAACAAACCACCACCAAAAACCCCAAATACCAAATCTCTTCTTTTTCTCTCCTCTCCTCCTTCCCCTTCCCTGTTTTGTTTTTTTTCCAGGTGTTCTTTATGGCCACAGGAGGGAGCTCAAATCCAGATATGGGAGGATTGGCTTGATTTCAGATCCAGAGCCTCTTAAACTCGCGTTTTTCCTATAAGCTGGTCCCTGTTATGTCCAGGATCTGGCGCCTGCTTGACATTTACTTTGAGTTCCAGAGGACCAGAGACCTAGGATGAGGAGCATTGGATCTGCCCTGAACCTGCTTTTGGTATCTCCACTCTACTTTGTGTGGACCGTGGTCGCTCTGGACCTGGCACAAACTCCCTGCACCACTTTGGTCCAAGGGAAATTCTTTGGGTATTTCTCCTCCTTCGCCGTCTTCCCGTTGAACTCCTCCCTCTGCTCTTGGATTATCCAGAACCCCGACCCCCGCAGGTACACTTTGTACATGAAGATCCTCAAGCCCGCCGGCGTATGTGACCACCAGCACATCCGCACCTACCAGTTCGACTCCTTCCTGGAGTCCACCCGCACCTACCTGGGCATGGAGAGCTTTGACGATGTGTTGAAGCTCTGTGATGGCTCCACACGCTTTGCCTTCCTCCAGTCCAACAAGCAGTTCCTGCAGATGAAGCAGACGGCCCCTCCGGGGGTGGACACCTGGCCCATGAGGTGGAAGCCCACCAAAGCTCAGGAGAGGGACTTCTCGGTGGAATACCTGGTGGTGGGCAACAGGAACCCCAGCAAAGCCGCCTGCCAGATGCTCTGCAAGTGGCTGGACGCCTGCCTGGCCATCAGCAGCAGCTCCCACCCCTGTGGCATCATGCAGACCCCGTGCTCCTGCTCGGGAGGGGAGGTCCTGGATCAGGCCAGCGAGGTCCTGGGGTTCACCAGGAAGAAGGAGGATTGCTATAAGGATGGGATTTACTTGGAGAACTGCGTGAGCAGCCCTAAGGACACCAACGGAGCGGAGTTCCTGGGTGAGTGGAGGGTAGCTGGGAGTGTTGGGGAGGGACGGATGGTTGGACTCTGCTCTCACGGGTCTCACACTGTCCCCATCACCTCTGTGTCTGTATCTGTGGATGCCTGGCATGAAAACCTAATTTCCTAATTGACAGGCAGGTCAGGTAACCCTCTTTAGGAGCCTGAGACTGAAATTACAAAACAGCTTCCCCTAAACATACCCCAGATCATTTCATTCATTCCCGGGGCTCGTGCGTTGCTTGTTTTACTCCTGCAGCCTCTGAGCTTCTCACCTGAGGGTGAGTAGTTTTCCAGCGTAATTACAGATGTCCTAGAAAAGGCAGGATCCAAGTTCCCTCCCGAGGCAGGCTGCACTCAGCAGCCCCATCAACCCATTTTAATTCCTAGGGAAAACTTAATACTTGGGTCTGGTTCAAGGGAATGGCAACAGAAGGCACACTCGTTTTGTTCCCAGCTTCATTTTCCTTCTGGAGGCTTTCAGAAAGAAAACTCATCACAATGCTTCCGTGGGGTTACTTGGTGCCTTTGCTGGGGCTCATTCCTGGGATATTTCATTAGTGTTCCATCAGTGATCTTGAGTATGGTATGGGCTGGAAAGGGGGAGGTGGAAGAGGCATGACAAAAAAGGGCTGTAAATAAAGGTGGGGTGATCCTGAAGTCTGATCTAGGCATTGATCTGGGGAGGGAAATGCTCCTTCCAGACCTCTGACACAGCCATGAAAAAGCAGAAGAGATTCAGGGGGGCCAAAAGCAAAGCTTTTTGTTCAGTACCTGTGTCAGATCTACCTCGATGTGTTTGTTCTCAGCTCCCACCCCACCTGCCAGCACACAGGTTATGTAAAGGAGAGGTGTGATGCTAAATAGGAATTCGGATGGCAGGGAATGGAGCCTCCAACTCAGCAAGGTTCAAGCCCTCACCTGGCCCTCACCCCAAGGTCTCATCTCCTTCAGGTGCTGGACTGAAACCCCCTCTGCCACCAGCAGAAAGTTGGCATCTGCCCGGGTCTGGAATTTGGGGCTCTTGCCTGACTTTCGCAGCAGCCCCTGTTTAGGGTGGAATTTCTCAGGGTTGAGGGGAAGAGGCTAAATTTGCTTTGCAGCAGGAAGGAGGTGGCCAGGCACAGGTCCAAGCCGTGCAGTGTGATTCTCCTGCAGAACTGCAGCCTGGCGTTAGCAGAGAGATTAGTGTGTGATCAGGTACTTGTGCTTCCGTCAGGGTGTTCTGGGGGAGGTTTTGTTTCTCACTGATCTGTGAATCAATACATGGAGGCAAACGGCCGAGCCATAAATCCTGCAAATTAGTTCTTCAGCCCTGCCTCCCTCCCCTGCTCGGCTCTCCAGATTTTGGGGGTTGTTTTTTTTTTTGTTGTTTCCTTTCACGATGCCCTTTTCTCCTGTGTGGGCAGCCTGTGAGGAGCAGAACCTCTGCTTCCTCCTCGGGAGTGATGAGAGCCCTGTTCAGTCAGATGTCCTGCCTTGGGTTTGCTGATTGGGTGATTTATGCATTCCACCCCAGCAGTGTGACCTTTCTCACTTCAGCCAAAGGCGAAATTTGAAATAAAGTTTCTGGCAAATCCTGAAGCATTCAAGCTTAATGTTGGCTTTTTGTAAGGATCTCTCCTAGCCCAGCTCGAGTGCCTGAATGTTCCCAGCAAGTAAATATGAAAGAGGCTCAGAGGTGGCTGAATCAAAATCCTTTTTGGGTGTCAAATATTTGTGGAGTGGAGATAATTTTTTTTTTCTGGCTGCTCACATCTGCTCCATATTGAAGACACAGGATTATCATCTCCACTGGTGGGTTGCCATCCCCACAGAGATGATGCTTGCAGGGGGCCAGGCCTCTCCATGTGCTGCTCTGTCTGTCACTGTGTCTGTTTTGATTTATGCAAAGGCTCGATCAGGAAGATGGAGGCGAGATCCAATTTGGACAGGGAGTCAGCAATCCCTTAACAGCACTTGGTGGGTGGAATATTTTGATAGGGTTCCTGATTTCCAAGTGCTGATGCTGGTTATTGCAGTCATTGCTGTTCTGATTGTATTTGTAGCATTTTTTTTTTCCCAACACACGTTTATTTTTTTTTTTCCCTCTCTGCTGCTTTCTGAGTCATTTGTTGTTTCTGGGCCTGTCTTAACACTTTCATCTTTGAACAAGTGTAGATGTGTGTGATGTGCTAATCTACTCTGATGACTTTGAAGGCACATAAGGAATGTGGAAGGTGTCCCTGCCCATGGCAGGGGGGTTGGAACTGGGTGATCTTTAAGGTCCTTCCAACCCAAACCCTGATTATGTGAATTCTCAGATACCACCCTGAAATGTGAAGCCTGACTTTTCCTAAGGTCCTTTTTTACTCCTTGGATATTTCCAAAGCAAATGGAATGGGTGCAAATCTATGATGAGATATTGCCTTGGGCACAGCCATGGTTTGGGGCAGAGTCTGGGGGTGAGATCCCTGCGAAAAGCTTCACTCCAAGTAGACCCTGTTGCTCCAGAGCTACTGGGACACTCAAAAACCAGTCTGTTTTCAGTCATGGGCAATGATTCACACCAGGTTCAGGTTCACAGGGATCTTTGTGGTCATTTATGAGGGACTTCAGAAAGAAACTCTGCCAAAGTGACCCTGTCGTATGTGCAGCATCTGTTCTTCTGTGTCTGGAGGTAGGAGAGACTGCTCCAAATTTGCTTCCTGGGTTTGGTGGGACCCTCTTTGCTCTCACTGTCCCACACAGATGTTAAAGAGGTCACACCAGGGAGCAGTGGGTTTGAGAAGAATTCCTCAGGGTGCAGAGGTGGCAGGAGATGTTTTGTTGCACATGGAGCTTGTCCTGGTGATCAGCAGAACATGCTTGGAAATGTATTTGCACCAGCAGCCCACCCCTCACATCTTCCCTCCTTGGGGGAGCTGCCTCCAACTCCAAGAAGGCTTCAACAGGAGATGTTTTCTAGGAGAAGACAATTCAACAGGGGAACTATTTTTGGCCAGCATCAGCTTTCCCTTGTCTCACTCAGGCAACATGGGGAAGGAGGCAGAGACTCTTTGTAGGTCCCGATGTTTAGATGTGAACTCACTTTTTGGAATGCAAGTTGGCTTTGCTGGAATAGCTTTGGGGTAGGAGACCAGGGGACTGAAGGAAGGAAAACTTCCTGAAATGCTTGGCATTGGGACTTCGTGGTCTGAAAGTCCTGGTGACCCTGCCAAATGTGAGCTGGCTTTGCTGTAATCATAGCTGGAGCTTTAATGGGATGATGATGAGACCCTGTAATGAGAGAAGGTTAAATGTGTGCTTAAGTGCTGTGCTGAGTTAGGCACTTAATGAATGTCTAATTAGTCTTGTCTCCACATAATCTGTTCCTGGAAGGCCCTTGCAGTGCTGTCACATTTTGGTGGCCCAGAGAGATAACCAGCATGGTCTGGTCCCTCTACTCTTCATATCCCTGCCTTGGAGCGATCCAAGGTGTTTGCTGCAAAACAGGGCTAAATGACTCCCCCAAAATAAAATATTTTCTTCTTGATAAAGTAGGGGGTCCAGGGCTGGAAGGGGTTTTATGATGAACGAATAACTGGTCTGAAATTCTGGGGATTTTCCTGCCTTTTCTGCTATTTTTTTTTTCGTTCTTTTGTTGTCCCCATTGCTCTCAGCAAAATCAAACCCTCTTTCCTCACACATGCTCATGACTTCACTTCTGTTTCGTTAGTGGTGTTTCACCTTCCAGCCTTTAGCTGTTTTTCTACCCCTGTCTGATAGATCAAAGTGTCTCACAGCATCTAGAGGAGCATTTATAGATACATGACCAAGTTCCTTCTTAACCTCTGCCACATCAGTAGGCTGGACTCTGTGAAATTCTCACTGCAGGACACATCCTCCAGGCCTTGGTCATTGTTGGGAAGCTTTGCCTCATGCTTGGCAAGTTCTGCTGGTCAAAGCATGATGCCTCCTCAGCAGGGCTGAGCTCCTGCCTGGACTTGTGGTTGAGTGGCTGCTGAATGGGGTCTGTGGCAAGGGAGAGGAGCCAGAGGCATAGAAACAAAAGAATCAACTCCCATCCTCCCTGCTGTAGGAATCCTGCTGTATGGCACAGCTCCCCTCCCCTTGAACATCCCTCAGGGCAGAAATAACTTGCTAAGTCATTTCCTATGTTCGAGGTGAGCCTTTAGTGGCCCTGAAAGCTCAGAGAGGGATAAAGATCTGTGAGTAATCGCCCAGGGGCAGGCTCTCAAAGCTCTTCTTGACATCTTCAGCTCCTTATGACACATGCTCTGCTCCTCCAGCACCAGTCCCCCGGGTCCAAACAGCAGCTGAGCTTGCAGAGAAAGGTGTTTGGCTTTGGTTTTGCCTCGGTTTTTGATTTGCCAACCAAAGGGCAAAGGGAGTTGTTTTATGGAAGAGGCAAGTGTGGGTAACTCCTTCCGGGATGCTGAAAAGTGAGTTCTGACTCAGTTAAAACACTCAGATCTCTGTGACCTGTGCAAGCCCTGCCTGTCCCACTGCTTTCCTCTGGGATCGTGAAAGGCCTTACAATTGGAATGGAATGGAATAGAATTAGAATTAGAATAGAAATAGAATAGAATAGAATAGAATAGAATAGAATAGAATATTTTCAGTTGAAAAGGATCTGCAATGATTATCTAGTCCCACTGCTTGACCACTTCAGAGCTGACCAAAAATTTAATTAAGGGCATTGTCCAAATACTTATTAAGCACTGACAGGGAGGGGGAATCGACCACATCTCTCAAAAGCCTGTTCCAGTGTTTGACCACTCTCTCAGTAAAGAAATCCTTCCTAGTGTCCAGCCTACACCTTCCCTGGTGCAGCTTTGAAGCGCTCCCACACATCCTATCACGGGATGCCAGGAAGAATCAGGCACGAGCACAGGAGCGCCGGGGTCTCACAGGGACAGAGCAGAGATTCCCGGTGTCTGTGCTGCCTCCACCACTAACTCCGTTCATCCGCCTGTCTGGATGGAGACGGGGTGGACTAAAACGAGCAAATCGAAGC